AATATAGCTTACCACGTTCATCAGGTGGCCAAAGTCCCAGGTTGGGTATAAAAAGTTTTCCTGCAAGAATTTCGCGGCAAATTAAATTACCTCAAACACCTTTAATGTCCTTTAAATACAGTAAGATTTTATTTTTCAATTTAATATATTATAATTATAATTATTTTGTTTGTTTATTTTGTGCCGCATTTTTTGAAGGAATGACTCTTTTTCATTATTATGTTTCATCCAAATTATTCCCACACTTTACCCATGTAAGCGCATTTTGTCTCACTTTTCAGTTAAATCGCTTAGCCTCTCGAAAATTTAGCTCATGCAATGATGTATCTGGCCTTGTAAATTTTTTTTCTAAATTTAAAGGAGGTGATGTAAAACTTATTCGACCTTGCGAAAATATGGCTTTAATCGAGATCGATAACGCTCAAAAACATAATGCACTCACTGGTTTTATGTGTTGTCAGCTATTTGAATGTTTGGTTAGACTAGAGGCTAACTGTCCCGATGCCGTTATTCTACGCGGATCAAATGGCCGATTCTGTTCCGGTGGGGACCTTAACTTTATTGAAGCAATTACAGGACCAGGGGATGGACAAAAATTTTCAACATTCCTACAGGTATTTTATTTTTTTTCTATTTTTAGAATATTACCTCCAGAATCTCTCTCCTTCCAGCAATCACTGTTTCCCTAATAGAGGGTGCTGCTTTCGGCGCTGGTGCTGAGCTGAGTCTATGTACCGATTTCCGTGTAGCTTCACATGATGCAAAGATTTCTTTTAAGCAGGGGGATCTAGGTGTTATCACTGGTCTCGGTGGAGGTGTTCGTTTGATTAACTTGGTTGGGAAGCAAGTAAGTTACTATATTCTGTTCATATACTTATTTTTAACTTTTGGCAGTCAAGTCCCTGTTATTTCGATTTGCTTTCCGAATTCACACTTTTCAGTTTACACCTAAGATGACACAATTAGATCTTATCTTTCATATAGTGTTAGTGCGAAGATAAAA